CTTCACATTATTCATATCCTTTGATTTATAAATCTCCACAAATAGGTTGACATTCTCCAGATACTAATTGAAATCCAGTATCACAAGAACTACAAGTTATTGTATGCCATATCAATTAATTATTATTACACAATTTATAACATTCGCTAAGAGATGGATCTTCTGTAATTGGACAATCTATAATATGATTATTAAATATACTTGTACAAACATTACTTAATTCATAATAACCAGGTGCACAAACACATTTTAACCCTTTTAATATTCTATTTAAAGTAATATCACATGTTAAACAGCCATCAATTGTGGTTCTAAAGCATGTTAAGCATGATGAATGACAAGAGGAACAACTTTTTGTTGTATATTAATAAGACATCCCTGCTGGACATCTACATGTTGATCCTACTTGTTCAATATTAACAATATCATTGCAAGTTAAACATTCATCAGAAGTTGGTCCAGTACAAGTTTGGCAAAATTAATGACATGGCTAACATTTACTTATTGAAACAACAGGATAATATCCGTCAATACAAATACATTACCCATAGGATAATTATCTTCTATTAGAAGTTAAGCATTCTACACAGTAAGTAGAACTTAAACATTAATAACATTCAATTGGACAATTTAAACATTAATTTGAATCTTTATATTAATTTATTGCACAAATACATCCTAATTTAGGTTAGGAATAAGTTGGTTAACATGTTTAACAATCTAGTTTAGATCTACAAGTTAAACAAGATGATGGACAAGTTAAACAACTTACAGATTCTTTATCATAATATTGATTACTCAAGCATTCTGCTTAAGAAAATTTAACGATATTAGAATCATAAGTGCTGTTCCATGAAGTACAAGTAGTTTAATTTGAGCATTATAAGCAATAGGGTTAGCAATAATGAACAGCGATGTAATACCTATAGAATCCGCAATATGCCTTGACTGGTTCATTATTTTGTCCAAAGCATTCCCAAGTTATAGTTAAAGTATTTGTAGAATGATTGATTTTTTCATATATTTTCTCATATTTTACACTACCAGCAGATGCAGATGCAGTTGATTTAGAAACTGGTTCATTACTCTCAATTGTATATATAAAATTCCCATCTAAAGGGAATAAGGGTCCGTATACAATATAAAATCCAATTGTAACACTGTGATGTGGAGATATTATATTATGAACCCTTTAAAATTTAGCCTGCGCCCATACAAATGGTCCTCCAAAGATTCTATTTCCAAACCAATATGAAAAATAGATATCTGATCCTTTTAAAAAGTTTGACCCACTTTGAGAGACTAAAGTATATAATGCATATTATTCTGGATCACCAGCTGAATTTTCATTTTCTTCAACTAAATATTAAGAGTCTATATATAAAATTATATAATACATGGTGTTTCATCATCATAATTCTAGCATTAAGAGCCACTTAATTTTTAATATGGAAAATTACAATTGCTAGTGCAACTACCATCTTTATAAAGATAATATCCACTTTAACATGTCTCACATTTAAATGGTACTAAACACAATACACAAAATTAAGCACAATATCCTGAAGTTATGCGCGACACTAACCATTCCCCACCCTGCTGTGCCATCACTAAATCGACAAATGATACTCACTCATAATCTCCTACTGCTGAGAATACAAATTACGATTTTGGAATGTCAATAAATGAAATTAATTCTAATTGTGTTGTCTAGGAATATTGTTGATACGAACCGTGAATATATGATGCAGAGACTCTTATATTATGAGTTTGAATTCCAGAAATATTCCTATAAATAGATCCATGATAATGATTGTTAATCTTAAACTATATACCACAATTAATTGGAAGATCGTTAAAAAGCTCAATTGTTATTCTCAATCCAATCAAATATGTGCCAAATACATAGGAAGGCAATTACTTGAAATATCTATAAATTCCAGATTTAAACTTAAAAACTCCATATGTAATTGAATAAGGAGTAATTATAGTTGGAGTTTTATCTAAATGTTTTGGGTCATATATCATCAACCATTTCAAATTCTCATCAGAAGAGATTGGTATTTACACTGTAGCTATCTCTATTTGATAACCTAAGTAGTTTTAATTAAAAATGATACTTGGAAAACTTTAGCAAAATCCATCATCATATAATTAAGAGTCAAGATCGCAACTGTCTCTGCATCCAACCT